CACATGGGGACTTCCAGAGGACGAGGTGGGAGATCCACGCCCCAAGTGCCCCTTGCCAGCTTGCTCTGACCTGCGGCCCCCTGAGCTGCAGTAGAACAGTTCTCTTGTTCAGGACCTTTGGTGTGGTGCTGTTCCAGGATGCATAGGAAGCTAATATAAACCCTGGGAAACAAATGCAACATCTCACAGAGATTTCTGCCTAGCTGCACACATTGGATACACAGCTGGTTAAATCTGAAGGCAAGGTCCATTACTAGCATTTTATTTTTTGAGACGGAGTCTTGCTCTGTAACCATGACTGGCCTCAAGCTCCCAGATCTGTCTATCTCTGCCTCCCGAGTGCTGGGATTAAAGGTGTGGGCCATCAGCTTCTACCAAAACTGTATTTCCTTCAGTCACATGTTATCTTAATTCATATTAAAATATAGGATATATGTTTGAGATTGTCTTCATAAGTATTAATTGATAATAAGAGGTTTTAGAGATGTCTACCTTTGATGAAACATGCTCAAAACATCTTTTCCTTGAGGTTTCAGAGACTGAAGAAGCTCCTAGATGATGGGGACGCACATCCTGACTCTGCTGCTTCCTTCCTGCTCCTGGACAATGGAAGAGTTATCCAGCTTTCTCTGCCCAGTGGTCAACACAACAGCGAACTGTTCCCATTGGGTTATTGAGCTGGTAGTGATAATTCATCCCAGTCAGTGATTTCCATGTTGGTTGGCACACTGTGAGTGCTGTGGTGTGAACATTTGTGTCTCCCTCCCCACTTCATTGTCTTACCCTAACTCCTAAGCTGCTGCTACCAGACGTGACACTCTGAAGAACCTATTAGACCACAAGGGCAGGGATCAAGCGATTGAAATCTGTGTTTCTATGGAAAAGGAGGCACGGTACTAACTAGTCCCACCTGCCTGGTAACAGTGAAGCCTGTAGGTGTCTATGAACTAGGAAGCAGGCCCACGCTGAATGTAGAGACACCTTAATGTTGAATTTCAGTGCTTTCAAAATAGAAATAAATTTCCAATGTTTATAAGCTGCCCAGTTTATGTTACTTTGCAATTATAGCCCAGATGAACTAAGACAGCATGCTACTCAATATTCAACATGCAAACTGGTAGTCTTGTTTTCTTAGTACTTCTAACCCAGGCGGTCAATTTATTCTGCAGACCAATATGGACATTCCACTCACTTCCTGAAGCATTAAATGAATCTATATTATATATGTGAAAATGTGAAATACTTAATATTGGTCGCATATGACTTCCTATTGTTGTCCCTTCTATTAACCGTCTGACTGCCATTTACCTCTATTGGCAAGTCTTCCTAGAGGGTCTGCATCAGAAATATTCTCTCTCCTCCAGCAAATTTGAAAAGCACAGGTATGAAAATATTACATAACACTTATTCTGAAGCTATTAGTGTAAGCTCTGCCCCACTGGGTAGACCGTGACCTCCAGAAGGGCAGGGCTGGCAGCTTTCTAGCTTTGTAGCTTTCTTAATACCCATGAGAGAGATCCAAACTTAGTAGATTCTCAATAAAAGGTTGTTAAACTTAGTTGAACCCACAATATTTTTTTCCTTATGGTGAATGCCCTAAGAAAAACATAAAATGAATGAATTACTTTTCTTTCTTTCATGGCAATATATATGCCCTGGGCTAGTGGGTATTTGCAAGCCTGGGTTAGAACTTAGGAAAGTCATCCATCTAAGAAAGGAGAAGAAATGCATTTTAAATCACAAGAACAACAGAGCCTTCTATAAGGCCTTCTAGCAAAAACAATTATTGATGTCTGCATGGCCCAGGTGCTAAGTGATCAGAAGCCAATGCCGAGGGTGAGACGCGGTGAATGATCCTCAGTCGCGTTCCATAGGTAGGCAATTTGGTGAAATGTGCACAGATGGAAAGTTTAGGTCTGGGAATCATGTGGGCGTCATAATGCAAATAATTGACTTTCCTTCTGAGGAACATCTGTCGAAGCATCTGAAAGCAGTTGTTTATCCTGCTGCCAAAATGCTGAGAAATATAATAATTCTCCAATGAGGCTAGAATTATCCAGGGGAAGAAAAATGGGTTTTTCATGTAGCTCTGTTTTTATTAAATCTTGTGGTTGTTTCTCTAACATAGCACATAGGAGATATTCAATAATATTTGTTGAATGAATGCTGAATGAAAAGCAGAAACTCATCAAACAGTTGTTGAATGAATCATTTCCCATTTTTAGACTCAGAAAATACATTTTCAGAAAATAGTGTGCCCACAAAGTTTTATCATGTCGTATACCATTTTTATTTGGCATAAATTTAAATAATGCCAACCTTACTCTGTACATTATGGGGTGCAATCAGCATGCATCGCTATAAGAGAAAATAGTCTCAACATTATACAAAATGTATGAATAAAGTTAGATTTTAATATCTTAATGTTACTTCAATTCATTATTATGAAAACGGTAAAATTTAAATTGCAGGCTTACATAGTTATGACTATTTCAATAAACAAAATTAAAATTTAAAACCCAGCTAGTGTCTATAGCTGTAATACATCTAAGAAGATTCCACTAAGATTTAAAAGGCTAGGATGTTCTGGAGTGTCTGGAGGACCGTAGAGCAGGAGGATGGTGCTTCTCTGCCTGATCCTTCTCTTGTTCTCACGTGTGAGAGAGGCAGGCAGGCTTCCCAAGGCCTCCCAGAATTCACTCTGCCAACTTTCAGTGCAGATAGTGCATACTAAATGGCAGACGGAGTTTGAGTGTAACTAGTAAAATTACAGTGCTAGAAAGGCATCATTGCTTTGAAAAACCAGCCTTTCTGTGAGAACGGCTCCTAGGCAAGACCACAAGAAAGAACTCTGAAGGGAGCAATGCTAATTGGTAATGACTCTCTCCAGAAATCCTTTGCTTTTATGGTCACCGTGACACAGCTTAGGAACCTCCATGCAGGTGCTCGAAGGAAGCGGTTCAAGCTGTAATCAGAGTCATCTTTCATCCGTGAATAGACAGAGAGCTCGTTTCCTTCCTGTATATCTAAACTGTACACGTGCACACATATCACAGAGGATCATGAATTAGAGAATCTGCTCACAAAGAGTTACAAATAAAATGGTAAGTCCATTATGCTTATGACGCAATAAGAAAATCACAGCTGAATCCAAACCGAATTCATACCTCTTAATCCCTGATTTCTTGGTTTCAGTCTGCCTTCATATACAAAGTGTGCCTCTTCATGAGGCAGGGAACAGGATCCGAGTGCTGAATTGTCTCTATCGCAGGTATCATACCTGACTATGGACAAGTTACTTAGGTCTCTGTCCTTTAGTAACAAAAACAGAATGAGCACCTTGATTAAAAGAATTGACACACATCAAGATAACTAGTTTATTAAACTCATTTTTTATTGGAATATTTTATGTCTGTCTCCAGAAGTAAACTAGAAAATGAATGACAAAAGTCATCTGAAATGGACTGAGAGAGCTCAGAAACAGAGCACTTAGAAGATAAATAATATCGAGTATATAATGGAATTATATATTAACCATTATGTGGTTGGATATTACATAAGTAACGAAATAAGATTATTACTCCTTATTCCTGAGACTTGAAGGTTGTAAATACAAAAATGCTTGGTAAGAAGGGTTATCCAAAAGGCTTGTAAGTTTTCATCACTATTTGTTCTGAATAGCTCTGAGCAATTCTTTTCCAATTCATTACGGTTTTCAATATGTATTCTGTTAGTTTAAATGTTAAATTTCATGCAGACACGACTTAATGAAAATTAAGGTAGAAATTCAGAATTAGTTAAAATTTATAACTGATTATATTAAGGTATTAATGGGCTATTAATTAAGTCTATTGGATGTGACAAAATTTGCGTTTACCTCATTTTGCTTAATTTTAAGCAATTAGAAATAGAAGTTACTTTTTAAAAAAGTCTAGCCATTGTCAATTTTACATTCACAATAAAGTCAAATGTTTATCACAATGTCAATATTTTGACCTACCAAAACTGAAAACATTTTTTTTAATTAAAAAAAAAATCTCACTCAAAAGCCCCAAAGGTGCCTTTCACACTTAAGCTTTAATTAGCAACCATTTTGGTCTCTGACACACATTGTGCAGGTATTGAAGCGTTAATATTACCAAGGTTTGATTACAAAAGGCAAGGATTAATTTCGGAGGAGACAAAAAAGATGATGCCCTGATTACAAAGGATGATTAAGGGGGAATGTCAGACATTGTACACCTGTAGGAGTCTTTGCTAGCCTCCGAGGGTGAGACTTTGCAGAAGTTGATATTTAAAACCCCGGGTCCTTTGCACTTTATAACACCGGTGTCTGTGACTTGCACACTGGGCTTCCCAGCTCTACCAAAGGTCCAAACCCCTGAGCGCAGAATGGTTCCACGGGGCTCCTGTAGTTCACTTCTCGCGAGACCAGCACGAGGCTTCTCCTCCTGGGTCCAGTTCTCAAGAGGCCAGCACGAGGCCTTCTCCTACTGAGTTTAGTTCTCGCGAGGTCAGCACGAGGCCAGCATGAGGCTTCTCCTCCAGGGTCCAGTTCTCGCGAGAATAGCAAAGAGGCCAGCACGATGCCTTTTCTTCCCAGGTCCAGTTCTCGCGAGTCCAGCACGAGGCTTCTCCTCCCAGGTCCGGTTCTCACGAGGCCAGCACGAGGCCAGCACACCCAAGGGGAAGCTCCCTGGAGAGGAGCGGGAAGTTTCGCCCCCCAGAGGCTGCTGCCCTCCCCCTTGGCTTCTCGGGGCAGCTGCGTCCACCACAGACACAGGCAAGGCTGGAAACCCTCAGGGCATGGCGGAGAGGACTGAGGAGCAAGGCCAAGGCCCTGGCCTCTGCCCTGCTAGCCCGGCCTGCGCAGGCGTGGGTGCTGCGGGCAGCCCAGCTGGGCACTGCCCTGGAAGCCTTCTTGCTTGTGTTTTCCAGGATCCTCAGGCTCCTGTATAAAATATTTAAAGGCGCAGGAAGGATCCGCAGGAGCCGCCGAGATGAGTCTGGAGTCATTGTTTGAGCACATCATCTTCACTGAGCACCAGGCGGAGGAGAGCCGCAGGGCGCTGCGGGAAGGTCAGGGGTCCTGCCCTATGGGGCCTTCTGGAGCGGGGTGTAGGAGCAGAGGAGGGGGGGGAGGTCAAGGAGGGGAGTTTGCAGTCTGGAGGGAACGACAGTTGAAAAGTCACATGCCAACTGCTTCTGAGATGGAGACTTGAGACTCAAGGTGCATGCGAGTTAAGATTTCGTGCGCGCGTGTGTGTTGCAGTGAGGTCAGAAATTACCAGATGTCGTGGGAGGATTAAGAAAGCGACAGAGGATCTCAATGAAGAGAAAGTCAAGTTGGAATCCAAGGTAAGGATGCGTAGAGCGTGCTAATTAGTGCTTGAGAAGATCTGATCTTGGCTGTGGGAAACTGTCACTGTTTACTTACCCTTCAGCCAGGAAACTCGAGAAATAGATACTCTAATTCTGCGTTGTCTAATATTTAATGTTCTGAATCCGGCGGTATCTTTAGTTTTTAATAGGAAGTGGCCCCAAGGAAGCCAGCCTTAAATAATGAATTCATTGTCCATTTTGTGTGATGGTTAATGTTTATAAGAGAACACAATGTCGTTGAAAGAATAATTGTTCAATAAGTAGTTAGTACAGCATATAAACTTTAAATGCTAAATAATTTAAGTATGCTGTGTGGATGTAATGGATTGTGTGTATCTTTCAATGCGCATTGGCTTTCTGCTTCTCAGTTCACTACCACATTTTTGGACATGCCTCATCTAAAAGTATCCTTTTCTCGCTCTCATTTCTCCTTCTGATGCCTTTGTAAAGTCCTGGGTTTTAAAAAAATTGAACCAAGAGAATCTGCTAGCTTCAGGAAAGATTCTGAGCTCTGGGTAGAATTTCGGGGAAGCAAAGGGATGTAGTAGAAGAAACCTTGTAGCAAAGGGAGGGGCCAGATATGCCCCAGGAACATTGAGGGAGGACTCTAGACCCCAGCCGAGGGCTGGTGCATACAGTAGGAGGAAAGTGATTCTGGATTTGACCAGAGAGGGGCAATAAAAGTGCTTTTAGGGGCTCTTTGCACCCTGATCACGAAGATGGGGACAGACAGTGAAGATGGTGAGACCACATGGTGGCCACACTCTGGGTAGGAGGACACAGATAGTGTTCCAACACTTAAAGATTAACTATGCAAGCAGTGTGCTTAGTCTGTTTACATAGTTACTATACTTTTGTCTATAAAATATTCATTTTCTTACATACTGAATATAAATTTATATGTAAATTAAATATAAATTTGTAAATGATCACTCTAATTTAGTTTACAATTGTGAGGAATTTTAAGTTTTCTGTGAATAATGTAATTCTGGAGGCTTCATCCCCCAGTGAGTATCCATTCTTCTTTCCCCATCCTGCTCATACATCATAAAGTCCTCCCTGGATAGCTATGTAAAATTCCTCTACCAATCATCAGCACAGACTCATGATTTCAGTCTTTGAGAAGAACATTTTTAGATTTATTTTTCTTATCCACCTTTATTCTCCTTGTGTTTCTTGCTTAAAAAACATTGTATGTGAGTGTGTTCTTTACTAAGAGTGTAAAAGTAATTTCACAAATTTGTACATGTTTGTGGGTCCATGTGTTTTTTACATACATTTTATAATGCTCAAATCCAGGTTAATGTGTGTATGCCAACATTTATCTTCTCTTTGTGGTGAAAACATTACATATCTTTGAATCTTTTAGTGTATGTTATTAGCTATAGTCACCATGCTGTGCAGTAGAATACCTGGATGCGTTCCTCCTAACTGTGTGTACTGCACCACCCATCAGTCTGTCCTTGCCTCCCCTTTCAACTAGAAGAGACTGTCTTTGAAAATATAATTTGGGGCTATTATTCATTGAGCCCTTAGCTCTTGTTTTCCTATAATGAGAGAGAAAGTAGCCCGCAGTGACAATGCCCAAAGCTGGTGGGATGGGCAAAACATGGAGTGTCATGATGTAGCTGTCTTTTCCTTGAAGAAAATTAAGATAATTTGAAAGTTGGCAAATAGAAGCCAATGAAGGAAAAGGTCACAGAGAGAAAGAGAGACAAGAGAGAAAGACAGACAGACAGACATCACCACCTCCATACTCCCTGCTCTTGCCTGCTAATAGTGCTCATGTCCTGGGTACTGTCCAAAGACCACATTGACTCCTTTAGTTCTGGCAGTCACGCTGAGAGGAGGAACCATCATTCCACTTTTGTAGGTGAAGAAGCTGAGTGTTGAAACGACCTGTCTGTAACATATAATATAAAACCAAAATAACTACCACAAAAGACACAATTGGTTAAGGAAAATATAACTCTATTAAAACAGATTCTTGAGCTCATCCTGATCATTCTTTCATGACATGTAGTAATGCGTCTGAAGCTTTGCATTAGGGGCAATATTCTTTAAAGGTCACCTCTGTAAGTTTTTGCATAAAGTGCATTTTTTTCTGGGATTGGTGAAGATACTGTCCTGACAGCAGATAGTAAATATTTTATTTTAAATGTTTTTTCCTTTGTAATGTTTCTTTTGTAAGACAAATTATTATTCTTTGTAATACTTTCTTTGTTAGCTACCTGTTTTACCTGATAATGGAAATGTGGTGTTAACATCTACACACACTTAAAGAAAATGTTGATTTAATTGTTTGTGCCAGAGAAAACACAGCAAATCTCTAATATTGTTTAAAAGCATTCATTGAAATTACTAATTAATTTAGGCTTATAAATGTCCATTGCTTTTTAATCAGCTCATATACATGGGTAATAATCTAATTGTATCTTACTAATAAAACTAGCATAAGAGGGTCACAGTTCATACAAAATTAACTTGTAGTTGAGGTAATTTGATTTATAATTAGAGTCAAGATGGTGTATATATATATATATATATATAAAGATTTTTAAAGTGGAATTAAGATTATAATGTAAATGAATAATGGGAAGAGCTAAAGTAGTAATCATAAATTGATTCTCTGTTTCTTTTTTAATCAGAGTTAATTATATGTCTGCCAATAACAATGGAAATACATTTACTTGAATATTTGACTTGGTGCTTATTGACCCATTTATCAAACAGAAACAGCATGAAGAGAAGCTAGAACATGACCTCACTGGAGCAATACTTTAGCTCTTGTATATTTGTATATTTAGAAACTATTTGGTCATTTATTTAGGAAATTGCATGTGGTCAAAAATATATTCAGAAGTATAGTATTCTTTTTTCCCCTAATCTATGGAACCTAGGTAGCATGTAATTAGAACTTGAATGATAGCATTTGCCTTTCAGGACTGGATGAATCTTTTAAAAGTCTCAGGTTGTATGAGTGAGTTGGGCAGCTACAGTATGCCCAGTTACGCTTAGTATGTGAAAGCAGAAGCTGGGAGAATGCTGTGGTTGCCTTAACGTTCACTGGTCTGCCTAAAGTTCCACTGGTCAGTGGAAGAGTTTGTAGTGTGGATGTCAGAGGAACTAAAATTAATGCTTAGAGAACTAGCGTAAATTCTTAGAAGCAACCCATTGAGTTTCTTATGTGTAAAAAATGGCATGTAATTATAGTTTGGGTAGTTTTTATAAACATATAAAACCCAATACTTCTCCATACTCCTGTGAGATAGGTAAATGGAGGAAAGGATTAGACGAATTATCATATTTGCCATATTTTGCTGGATAAATATATTTTTCTTTTTTAATTTTGTGATTATAATATAAACAACATTCTCACCTCTCCTTTCTCCCTTCTAACCATCCCATAAGCCTCCCTACTCTCCTCCAAAATCATGGTCTACTCTTTTATTGCATGCTTGTATGTATATGTAGGTACATTTGTATTCCTAAAAGTAACCTGATTGGTCTGAATGTTACTTGTAGGTATGCAGAAACACCTTAAGAACAATAAAATAATGTTTTATGAATTCTAAAGAGAATATATTAGAATGAAGTAATAAAATGGCTCCAGTTATATTTTTATATGTCTCTGCCATCTAATTGGTAAGGTCAGTCACTCTCTAAGAACTTGAGAAGTCATCTTTTGGTTCTGAATTATTAAATCAAGGAAAGAAAAAGCCATAAATTATTATATATTATATGATACGTTAATATCAATTTATAATATTAAAACAGGTTTTAGTTGAGGTGATTTGTTTTCTTTTAAAAATTGTGCATTAGCCGGGCGGTGGTGGTGCATGCCTTTAATCCCAGCACTCGGGAGGCAGAGGCAGGCGGATCTCTGTGAGTTCGAGGCCAGCCTGGTCTACAAGAGCTAGTTCCAGGACAGGAACCAAAAGCTACGGAGAAACCCTGTCTCGAAAAATCAAAAAAAAATGTGTATTAAAGAAAATGTTTTATCTTATACTGCTTATACTTTTATTTATTTGTTTGTTTATTTATTTATTTATTTATTTATTTAATTTTTCGAGACAGGGTTTCTCTGTAGCTTTTGGTTCCTGTCCTGGAACTAGCTCTTGGAGTCCAGGCTGGCCCCGAACTCACAGAGATCCGCCTGCCTCTGCCTCCCGAGTGCTGGGATTAAAGGCGTGCGCCACCACCGCCCGGCCTGCTAATACTTTTTTAATTGATAAAATTTACTTAAAGACATGGATGAAAGAAGACTCTTGTTAGCTCATTGCACAACAGAGATTCTGCTGAAAAAACAATAGGGTGTTGCTGGCTCATGTAAGTGGAGATTCATGACTTTCTCAGCTGTCCTTGCATCAGGCCACCAATAGCAAAAACCTTGCTTTTGTGGGCTCACTGAACAATAGTTGTTGTTGTTTGCACATGTGCTAGAGGTCCGAAAGGGTGTTACAGACCATTTATTAAAGATCAATTATTAGCTTGTTCTTGTTCTGTATTTGTTGTCACCATCCTTCTCTGTTCCATGCATCCTTCCAGAGCGCTGCTCTGGTCCTCGACAGTGTTCCTGAAGCTTGGAGGGAGAAGGATGGAGACCAGTAGTTGCTGCTCTGCTGTGCAGCCCAGTGTTTGAGGGTTTTAGGAGGAAAGTCCTCAAACATTTCAACCTGCAGCGCAAGGGTCAGAATTTAGTATTCAGCATTGGCAGGGGAGTCTGGGATTTTGTTTGGTTTAATAGGTAGGATCTCAATCTATACCTGGGGTTGGCCTTTAAATCTGCATCTATCCTAGGCTGTCCTTGAGCCCTTGATAATCCATGGTGTAGGAGGTTCTTTTTTCCATGTGTTGCTTTCATTTATGAATAAAAAACTGTCTTGGCCAGTTGATAGGGCAGAACGTAGGTAGGCAGGGAAGACAGAACTGAATGCTGGGAGGAAGAAGGACTGAATCAGCGAGATGCCATGGAC